CTTTCTGTTTTCAGAAGACTTAAGCAAACATTAGCATTTTGCCCTGTCTGACAGGGCAAGGATAAAGCTGAGGAAAACGTTTGAGGATCAGCACATCGYTCACAGCTACGCTCTGCCCTTGCGCAAAGCTCAACTCAGTGCCTTGCAGCAAAGCACGCGCCCCAGGGCACGGACGAACGCAGCGTGCTCGGGGGCGCAGCGGCACCGAGTGGGTGCCCACGCGCAGCACGGAGCGGTGGGGAGCCCGGGCAGCGTCGCTGCCGTCGCGGTGCGGGGTACTCACGGTGCAGCAGGGCATGGGCACTGCGCTGGGCTCCCCGCGGCGCCGCTGTGGCCGCACGCAGCGCGATCAGCATCTCACGCCGGGCGTGACGGGACTCGTGGGCCAAGCCCCGCGTGACGCTGCCGGGAGGAGGGGACGCGGCGGCTCCTTCTCTGCAGAGCGGCGGCGGCAGCGATAATGAATTGGGAGCGGGCAGCGAGTCGGGCGCTCGCCTCTGCTCCCGCGTCCCACTTTACTCTGGAAGCGGCAGAGGCGGCTGCGCCGGGGTCCCTGCGGAGGGAGGGAAGAGCCGCCGCGCGCAGAGGCAGCGGGCGCCAGGGCGGCTGCGCGCGGGGCCCCGGGCGGCTGCAGCGTGTGGCCCTGCGAGGTGGCTCAGCCACCCACGGCAGAGCGCGCAGCCCCACGTGGGCGACACGGGTCTCAAAATAACAGCTGGACTGCTCATCAGGAACCAGGAGACAGCACGGGCAGCAGCGGCRCGGGGGAGGCCTCCCCACGCCGCACAGCAGGGCCTCGGGCACCTTGCAGCGGGCAGCACCTTCAGCTTTCGCTCCTTCAGCGTCTCCTTTAACACRTCCTTGGCCTCGGTGTTTAGGCAGAGCCTAACTATTCTGAGAACACGTGTTTTACACGCAGGCCTTTGCACCTACTGGCCCCCGGCGCTTTCTGACGTCTTGTACTTCCTCGGGAAGGGTGATTAAAGGGCACACGGAGCTGCGGATTCTTTCTACCTCCCCCTGGAGCAGGCCCTGCTCGAGGGCAGCACCGTCCTCGGCTGGCACCACCAGCAACACGGATTTATCCTGTGCCCTGCTGGGGGAAGGGCTGCAGCGCATCCCTGTGTCAGTCAGTCTAGCGGAGGGAAACGTAGCCCGCTGGGAATAACGAGAAACACGATTTCCATGCGCGTTGCTCTCGCTGGGACGATCAAGAGCCTTGGCACAGGGGGAGCAACTTGGCAGGTCTGATGCTGCAACTTGGGGTCTTTACTGCTAGTGACAGGACACTTGAATTCTACAGACCCACCAGACGTGATTGAGAGAGGCAGAGGCTGCTTTCAGCTCGCTCTGCCTCAGCTCAGCTTGGCACTGCCACGGAGGCTTGTGGAGATCGGCACCAGCCCCGGGGTCCCCTGGCATCCTGGGGGTCGCTCCATTCTTCCCCCCCACCCCAGGCACAGCCCTGAACGCCTGGTCCGCGCAGCCTTCCCCTCCTCCCGGAGGGCTGCGCTCCGCGGGCGCCGCGGGCTCCGCTCGCCCCTCAGCCCGGCCCGCTTGCACGCAGGGCAATGCTCGAGCGGCAGCRACCTGCCCCAGCTTGGCTCCTTGTGCCAGCTGGCTCCCAGACCCAGGAGCTCTGCACACGCCAGTTTCTCCTTTTCCCTATTATTTACCCAGCTCCAAGCTTTGGGCTGGCGCTTCTCTTTCCYGTCACCTCTGGGATTGCCTCTCTAGTCTCTACTCACTGTTTTTACATTTCTCTGTGTGTTTTTGCAGGTGCCATGGGCAGGGTCCCTAGGGTCCCTGTTTGTCCCTCTCCAGCATCGCGTGGGTCTCGCTCCATCTCTTCTCAGCAGCAGGTACGTTGCCTGGCCCTGACAGGATCTTTGGATTTCTCAGGTTTTCAGTCCCCTCAAGTTCAAAACACACTTGAAGGAGAAAAACGGATTATACCCCTAACTCCTGACTGAAGCAAACAACRGTCATCCTTATTGTAAATTACATATAAAAAGTCCAAATGGTGAAAAATAAAATGGAAAGCAAGTCTGGGGAACACTTGTTTTTCAGGCCCAGTAGAACTGTTCAGGTCTTAGCTTGGTGGTGTTCGGTATAAAGGTAGGACTTCCTAAAATCCGTAAAAGTTGCTTTTCAAAGGATCAAGTTGTATCAGCAACAGCCTTAGCAGGAGTAATATGGCTGCTGCTGGCAGCAAGATGAATAAATGAAAGCACCTGTGGCCTCAGTGCAGTGTGCCACAGAACTGGGTGTGCAGCATCGCCTGGTCAAACCAGGTGGCTTGGATCCCATCCGCCCTGGAGCAGCTCCCCTGGCCAGCACAGGGACAGGGACACGGAGGGACGGAGGGAGGTCACAGAGGCTGGGAATCTCCTGAAAACAGGGCCGCCAGCAGCAAGAGCCTCCTCTGGAGAGGCTACTGGAGTCAGGTGCCCCCTGGAGGCTGAAGCACGAAAGGAACAGGCTGCGTTTCCTTACGGAGACCTTCGGGTGATTCCTACCTCACGGACGCCTCTCCCGCGGTGCCCACGATCCTGYAGGGACGACAAGCCCAGTGCTGGAAGCGTCAAGTCTGAGACCTGCCAGATAAAAAAAAAAAAAAAGAAATATCCAACATCTCTGAGAGCTTCTTCTGTGTGAGAACACCTCACACATGTTTTCTTGGCCACCACACACATGCCCCTCGTGCCTTCCTCCTYGGCCCCCAGGTACTTCAGAGTACACACAAACCCAGTCTTGTGTGCAAGAGTATGCACACCCCAGGGATACAGAGAGAGAAATTTTCATTGATCTCAAAGCAAAAGAGCAATTTTGGCATCACCCCGCCTCAGTGAGGGGCCATCTAACAAACGGTAGGACTAGAGCGGGCGCGCAGTCGCCAGACGCGCTCTCCAGACATATGCAGGTTCCTAACGCAGGCCGAGCCAGCTCCWGCCTGCAAGGACAGGCAGGAGACCCCTGGTTTTCACCGACATCAGGGGATGCAGAAACATTTCAAGGACGCCAGCACTGAAGAGCAGGGGGTAACGCTGCTGCCACGTGTGGCCCTTGCGCAGCGTGGACCGGGCCRTGCCGGCCTCCCAAGGGTAAAGGGCCTGTTCTGCCAGACAAAATCCTGTGTTATCCAGCCAGGCCTGCTTAACAAGTGTGGACCACAAACCTCTCAAAGAAACAGGCACTTCGGAGATCTTGCTCAAAAGGAACAGACAAGAACAAACCCTAAGAAAGGAATCAAGACAGCAAGTGCTCTAGGATGATGCTTTTTAATTGTTATTTTTATATCTTTAAAAACAAATCAGACCATTAAAAATATTATAGACATGTGCTGAAATTTCCTGTACAACAAATATGAAACAATAAAATTTATACATCATTTCAAGATATTCAACTAGCAGTCACTTATTTGAAACACATCAACTTTTCCCTTCTTAAGCAGGCCCCAAATGGGAAAGAGGGTAGAAKAGAAATGCAGGAGATGCCACTGGAGCACAGCAGGGCTCTGAGCCTGGAGAAGGGGCAATGTTAGCTAAGCGACAGCAAGGGAAAACACTGAGCAAAGAGAGAGGGATCTCRGCAGTCACAACATGGAGAGGAGCAGAATGCAGGTGAGAAATGCCCGAGGGATCCTCGTCACCTTGGCCAGGAGGAATCCAGGACGTGACGGCGCTCCCCRTCAGATACCCAGAATATCCCTGCAGGAAAGATGCTGCCGGGCCTGTGCTAGCTACTCACACTGATGCTCCTGCCCATTTTGCTCACAACACTTCAAGCGTTACCAGCTTTTCCCAGTTATCCCTAGCACTAGCAGGCTGCCTAGTTCCATCTCCACCACGATTCAGTTTTGGGGAATGGCAGAGGTTTCCAAGCAGATGCGCCTGCGTTAAAAAGGGCCACTCGCTGGGCGATGAGGACAAGCAAGGCTTTGGCACAGTSTCTTTCCACCACGGAAGTTATGGCACAGATGCTGGTTCCCGCAGCAGTCCTGGCGTGGCGGCTCCACGCTAGCTGCTCTCCTCACGCTCTGCTCCAACACACCRCAGAGGCACAACCCGGAGCAGAGGAGGCACCTCCTGCTCCTAAACGGTGAGGAAGATGGGGGCCTTTCAAAGCAAGGAAGCGCTCACTGCCTTAAGGCAGCCCATTCCTGGGAGACCAGGAGTAACCAACGCTGGCTCTGTGCTCCGCACAGAAGTACAGTACTTCCAAGATGAGAAAAAGAAATAGAGTGACTGTAAAGGGCGAGCTTCCTCCCTGCCAAGTCCTTTGGATCAGTTCTGTTTGGTCCCAGTGGTTTGTCTTGGTCATCGGACAGCAGCTCCAAAAGSACGCGGGGCGAGAGATGCGCTGCGGGGACCGCCATCGCGAGAGCCTCCGGGGCCTCATCATTCTCTTGTGTTTAAGTATTGCAGAGGAAGAAAGGAGAAAATATTCAAAAATATTCAGGATCCCACAAGTGGCTGCTACCAAAAAAAAAAAAAAAAATTAGGAGAGCTGAAGCGCGTTGTGGGTTGTCTCCAGTTCTGCTCACGCAGCATGTCGCAGTTTCACACCAGCTGGGGAGAAATTCCTCAGGCTTTCCATCAGGTTACAGCTGTGCTCCAGGAACTCCGAGATTCCAGCTCACAGTGGTTCTAGAGGGTCGCCAGCTCCCACTGTAAGGCCACACACGCTCCTAGCGCTTGCAGCTATTTCCAAATCAAAAGGGAAAAAATAAAAAAAGCAGCAGAATTCCAGGGACTCTGGTTATTAAACCTTCATAAGATTTTCACCGTTTTATAGCTATTCTATAGCATTATTCCTAAGCTTCATATTCTTCTACAATGCAACCAGTGCAAGAGTCCAAAGACCAAAAAAAAAAACCAACTGCCCTTCTATCCCCCCCCCCAAGCTACTTCATAAGTCCTTCATTGGTAATGCCTTCATGAACCTAGCAGTTATGTACCAGCCAAACAAATCCCAATTCATCCTCGGCTTGTAACATCAGCATCGAGGGTTTTGCTCRTTTGTTCCGTTGGAAAAAGGACCAGTTCACACAGCAGCAGCAGTACATTGCAAATAGTTACAGAACAAATACATGAGATCAATGAGATGCAGTCAGGTAAGATGTGTCTCAGCTTCAAATGGCCAAAACCACCAAGAAATTGGTATTTACAGCAGAAGTTTGTGCAATTTGTTTTGGTAGAAAGAGTAAAGCCAGTCGATCGGTTTGGGAGTGCTTGGACACTTGGAATCTCAGTTCAACATTTTCACAGATTTACACATCTGACGAACAACAACAATAATGATAAAAAGACACCAACCTGAGTAAAACTCTATCAGAATAGAGTAATCATTATTCAGTAAATCATATATTGCACCTTTAAATAATTATAAACTGTGTAAAAACAGGAGTCTCAGCCAGGAACAGGGAGGAGCTATTCCGTCCTTCCTACACACACACCCCTGCACACGCACACAGACTCACTTGCTCGTGGTTTTCCTAGGATTAAAGCTCGGAGTGATGCCCCACACTCCCTTTCCTCTCTCAGAGGCACCAAGACATTAAGGCAGGGGATATTTGTGGTGAAAAGCAAAAAACCAAAGCTCACCTCCAAACTTCTGGACAGTCCTGCCAACAGTGCAACTACAGTTATAAGTTTGACATAAGCCTTATTTAAAAATCTGCGTTCTCAGTAAGAGTTTCAGTACAAAAATAGAATCTCTGCTGTTTTTTTTCTAGAGTAGCAACTAGAAAAGGCACAATTTCCAAGTATAAATGTCCATTTGGAGGTGGTGTTTGTACTCCTTTTCTCAAATAAAAAGGAACACTCAGAAAAAAAAACAGAGGCACATATCTATTAGCTAAATAACCAGATACAGTAGATAAAATAGGTTCCTGAAACTTATAATTAAATATATTAAAACAGCCCACAAGCTTGGTGCCTGTAAAGGATATCATATAAAATTGTAATAAAAAGCTTGTGTTATTATTTTAATATTTAACTTCTAGTTCACCATCCGTACTGCAAATGCTATTCCACCTTTCAGTACTGGTTAAATTCCCAAGAAAAGCAGAATTCCTCTGTTAACTTTAAATAGCTTCTTTTTGTATCGACCTGGGGCTCCTGCCAGCACTGGCTTTTGCCTCCTGTAGACCACGTCTTCAAATCAGTTGCACAGAACTGGAAGAAACCAGACACGAGACAATCCTGGAAAACAAGAGGGGAACAGTTCCCTTTCCTATGTGCAGACAACTCCTCCTGGACACAGCGGAGTCCTTCCCATTTTACACGTGGTAGCCATTGGCCTTCCCAAAACCTGGCCCGGGAGTGAAATTTTCATAGATTGCCATTGCAGTCATGTTTTGGTAAATAAGATCTGCTTTTTTGTCTTTCTGGGATCTAATTATATCCATAACGCACTGGTTTAGGAAGACATACTGGTCCTGAGGGGAGAAAGAGAAAAAAGAAGGTGAAACAAGTTTTAGATAGCACTGGATTTTGACAGCAATTCTGCTCTTTAATATAGGCTCTGGATTTGGGATGTACTGCACTGCATGTTAGCTGAGAGCATTTTTAGCAGCTGTCTTTTCTACAGAAAACTGGGCTCATGATGTCACCTGATCAACACCCACTCAAAAACTGAGACCAAATTTACTGTCAGGCCTAACATTCCCTTAGGACTTTCATGATGAAGATTCTACTGCCTTCCCAGCTCAGCCTGACCTTATCCATGCACCTTTTTGGGCTGAAGTGGTAATTTCTGCAGAAATGTGAGGGCTCCCTGCAGAATGCACAAGAGAAGATGCACACAGAAACTCAAGACATTTAGAGCTCCGAGTGATAAAGTAGTAAATTACTCTGCTCTGGCTGCAACCACTTTTGTGGGAAGAAAGAAGGTGGGAAGGAGTAAAATTTAAGTAGAAGGTGGTTTCTCTACTCCATAAGTTTCCCGTAACTCTGAGCTGCACCTTTATTGCACCTGCCCTGGGTTATTCTGACTTCTGCAGATGACCCTGCTGGGTGAAAGTCGCTCSCCTACCTCGGTTTGCACCATGAGAGGCCGGTGCATGCGGAGGTCRTACACGACGCCGTACACGTCCACCGTGTTCTCCATTTCCATCTGCTGGATCAGGCGGTCGATGGCAATGAAAGTGCCCGTCCTTCCCACACCAGCACTGCAACAACACGGGAGCAGCCATGAACRGCTTCCTTCGGGCACAGGCTCCTCTCCAGCCCAAGGAAAAGCCAGCGGGGCTGGGAGGGTTATTGCTGCTTCAGTGGGATAGGGATGAAAGGCCCAGCAGCCCCAAGGAGGCAGCACCTCCAGACGCTCCAGCCTCGCAGCTTCAGAAGACTACGTGGGAAAGCACTAGACAAGGCAACTTTTTAGGCCAAGTTTTGTAGCCTAGGATAGATCGTTCACCCTAATGAGCTTCCTATCAGGAACTTTGCTGTCTGCRTAGTGTTGCCGTGCTTCGGAGGCACAGGCAAAGGTCTTAATTTGGCAGGGTGAACAGCCACAACCTTGAAYAGCAAAGAGACTCCATGGTCTTTCACATATATAGACATGGACATACACTTTTTAATCATAATGAAAAATATAATTGTTCTTAAAAGAGCAGCAGCTAAAGGCAAAAAACGGTTCTTGTACCTGCAGTGCACCAGCACAGGAGAGTCTATAGGATTTTGGCTGTTGTATTCCTGAACGAGGTGCCTGAAGTTGATGAGCAGGTCTGTTGTCTCTGGCACTCCGTGATCCGGCCACGAGGTGAAGTGGAACTGCCGCACCGTGTGAATCTCCGACACGTTAGCCTAGGGAAACGCACATGGAGAAAGGAAAACAATCGGGCTTGGGAAGAAATATAGTTTCTATTTAAGATTTCCATTAGGGAATATGGTTTGCTACCACATGGATCAGTCAAAGCTTAGCTTCTTTAAAGCTGGTTGTTACAAACACTGTGTACTTGGATAAATACTAATCCAATTAATCTTTTAAATAAAGAACGCTTTGAAATAATTTCCTTTCACATGACACTCGACTCCAACACCTCCTGGGCAGCGTTATGTTAGCTGGCAGAGATGTGGCCAATTGTTAGCTCTAGCTGCTGTGTTCCAAGGACCTGCATTTCTTGCTGGGTGTAAGTCCGAGGTGAACATGGGTGGCAGGATTGCTGCTGGCGCAGCCAGGATGCCCCATGCGTGGGCATGATCTGCCTGGCAGGTCCCTTTCTCCCACAGAAAGCACCTTTCTGGCAGCTCATTCCCACACCTAGCACTAAAACAGTGTTCTGGGTGGATGGGCAGGTGAGCAAATGCACACACATGAGTATCCCAGAAATCTCACTGTCAGTAAAGCTCCAAAAAGCTTAAAAATCAGGTTTTGGGCAGAAAGGAGACCAAYACATACAAGGCCCTAAATTTAAACACTCTTATTCCTTCCACTTTGAATTTGATTGTAAACTTTAGTGAAATTATTTTATTTTCCTACTCTAAATGTGTTTGGCATGTGCAATCACAGTGATAGGATAAATCCACCTCTAAAGATACTTGCACACAACTAAGGKTTGAGGAACTACTCACATTTTCTACAGTGAAGTCCCGTATTGTCCATTCCGGAAGGACAATCTCCGAGACCATCGTCACAATAATGTCACCGTAASTCATGGATTGCTTGTCTGGCCAATACTGCTCACATTTTGTCTAAAAAACAAGAATTAAAAAATTAGATGCATTACACTGAGCAATGAAACATGCCGGGAGAGTTTTCTATGAGTCCATCTTGATGTTGAAGTCACTGAGTGCTAGTTTTAATTAATAAATTTTAAAACTAAATTAGTTTTAATCGGCCACATGAAGTAGAGCTGGGAAGCACTTCACCCTTCCCAGGGCTCTAAGTATTTCCTGACTTCCAGACTAGCCGAAATAACCCAGATATGACGACCCAGATATGCTTCAAAAGACCATCTGCCTAAAACGGCTAAAAGTCAGCTTTYCAGTTGAGATGCATTAAACTGAAACAGGGTTTATAATAAATGTACATACACAGACACGTAAGCATGCCTAGAAATGTAAGATTAAATCAATTTTAGCAAAGGCAGAAACGCTCAGTTAAAGCCACACGAGCACCGTTCAGTCAAGCTGCATATGCACTACCGGGACACAAGGAATCTTCCCACCTAAGGTAAGGGAACCCCCCATTTTGATGCAGTCTCTAGCATTGCTGATGTTCTGCATTTCCTTGGATATGATAAAAAAACAAAAATGAAGTTGTTGGTTCATCCAAGCAAATACAGCACCCCCTGAAATGCAATTTCTAGATGCTTTTGAGGAATGTAATAATAATAATAATAATAATAATAATAATAAATTAATAAATAAAGCTCACAAGGTACTTAAAGCCAACAATGCAACACTGAGCCCAGAGAAAAATCCTTCTCTGTCAGGTAAAACCAGCAAACAAACGATAATCACCAACAACCAGCCAAACCAGCAGGCCATACCCGGGCTTGCTCGACGCATTTTGTCAACATGACAATAGAGTAGACATTCTTTTCCCAAATCATACGCCAGAAGTCATCTATAGTATTGGGTAAAGGACCCTGTGCTGCAATAAATGCCTTCTTTGAAGTATAACCCTAAGGAGATAAAAATACATACATACACATTAGCATTAATGATGAGGCATAAACCTGGTATTATATAATCATGTGATTTTTTTAAGAGCTATTGCATCATAAAAATACACCTTATTTTTCATTTCAGGTAATTGAGTCACTTACAGGCATATAGTTTGCATTAATGTAATCATCAGCTGCTTGGCTTTGGGCTGACAGTTTAACACGAGAAATATCATCTGCAGAAAGGAAAAAGGAAAACAAAATGCTCAGTTTTAGAGCAGAACTTTTTAGGAAAATATATGTCTAAGGTATGGTTTCCAAATACTTGTTTTCAAAAAAATGATTCTTTTAAAAATCCATGTTAAAAATAAGAATATATAGGTCTCAGCTTAGGAGGCCTGCAGAAAAAATAAGCAGCAAATAAAAAACAAGACAAAACAAATTTTTACAATACTGAACATACCAATTAATAAAAAGAGTTGGTCTTGTACATGAAATTAGCTTCYGTTGTATGGAATTTTAGTGATGTTTAGGTGACAGCTTAAGATAAGGCTTTGTCAGCAAAAGACAATATTATGCATTTATTTGGAAGGAAATATTATGATAGTGTTTTGTCATTAAATAGAATTACAATTTTAGCAAGTAAAATCTTGACTCAGCAGTTCTAGATTTACTAGATTTGCTAACCAACATTAAGCCTACTATAATTGCAATTATGGGAGAAAAATCAGGCAATTTCTCTCCTGCTGCCCTTGCAGCTTGGAGGGCTTTTCCTCCAAAACGTGCACAAGGAAACCTCACTGTTCACTTGCCAATTCCTCCTCGAGCTGCTTCCCGGGATGTCTAGACAGCTTGAGGGTGGTTCAGCTCCTAACACATCTGCAAAGTGGCACCATCGYGACACTTCTCATAGCTCCCCACATCTGTGGTCAGCTATTGCCTCTTGTCTTTCAATCTTCACTTTATGTTTCTCAYAAATGACAATTAAAAATGATTTAATTAAGGGGTGCTGAGGAAAATTCTTYAGGTTTGTTAATACAGTGATTTCCAGGAAACAGCATCCCAAATTCTTACACTTGTATTTGACAATGTTAATCCCTCAGTACTCAGTAATCCTTTTCAGTACTGTTAAAAGCAAATCAACTAAACGCAAGAGTTTTCACTTAAAACCTCATCAGTACAAGATGCTAAACCTAGGAGTGTAACTTACATGGCAAGACATTGTTGTATCTATTTTTCCCCCTGTTTTCAGCAAGTTCAGCAGCAAATTTCGGCTGATGAACTCCAGCAGGCCTGAGTTCCTGCAGTAAAAAATAGATTAATGAGAATCTAGTCTAAGAAGAGTACAGAAACATTTGACTGAAGCAAACTGACACCCCAAACCCTCTTGGCCTTTGCTGTAAGCGCAGGCATGTTCAACTGGAAAAATTATGATAGAAATCAGCTTTTCTCCAACAGTGTGGGAAGGTGACAGCAGCTAACTTGACAGAGAAAGGATTAATAGTGTGTTTAAAGCCCAGAAATGGTCTTGAAATGGGCTTTAGGCAATGGTTTAACATGCAAGACATTTTGGGTGGACTTCAACTAAATCAGGAGCTGAATGAGGGAAGCAAATTCAGGACGTGCACATCAGCCATCTCCAATAAAGGTCCCTTCTTCTCTGCTCCTTCAGGAAACCTTTATGCACACTCCCAAGAAAAGCCAGTTTGCTTTTCAGAACTATGCGTCATGAACCTCTCGCAGCTGACAGCACCTACCTCATACTCCTCAGCAAAGCCACAGTTGGAGTCAGCCTGCTGCTTCTTGAAGTAAGACTCAAAGTTTTCCACTTTAATCAACTTGGATCTAGAACAAGGAAAGCCATGAATTAGCATTGGTATCAGGTAAACAAATGATGAATTTAGTTAACGTGTAACAAAATGTGCGTCACTTACTTCTTGACTCTTCAGGAAGGGGAAAAAAGAAAAAAAAAGGTTGATTAGACACATATGGTTATATTTTTACTGTGTGAAACTAATGAGGAAAGGACAACACTGATAGTGGCACCCACAAAACTGTATTTCCAGGGGAGGGATATCAAGGCACAGCCTTTAACTGATCTGGCCAAGGAGAACAGCACCTCCTTCAGAAGGATATTAAAGGTGGTGTTGGACAGCTGCTCCTGGACTTCTGTTGGCATTGGCCCTCCAAAAAGTAGCCATAAAACCAAGAAAAATCTGGACCAAAGTACAGCATTTTGCTTAAGTGTTTCTTTTTTTTTTTTTTTTTTGAAAACTGCATGAGGTATTTTTATATCTAACAGCAATCCATCACAGTGGGAAGTGAGTACCAAATCCCTGTGGCAGCAGCAGAAGTCTCAGTTGATATGATTATTTTTAGACTGCAGGCTGAAGCCTTTAAATTCCACAAGGAATCAGTACTGCAAAATTCTATATGAACCATACAGAAAACAAGTACTGGGTTCAAAGCAGGTTTTACAAATCTCTCTTAAAATGCTCAGAAAACATTGCGTGAAAGGATATTGACTTACTTAATTGGAGAAAAGGACATTTCAGTATTTCTTCTATCTTTCCTGCAAGGAGAAAGAAAACAACACAAGAGGCTGACAGTGGATTTATGGAACTCATAGGAGATTCCTGGCAAGAGCTATTTCCTGGGCCTGTTCAGAACCATTTCTGCTGCAGCATCTCACCTTGTGCCAAAACCCTCGAGGCAAACCTCACTGCTGCAGTAGGACTGAAACACTTTGCTGCTCATTTAATGATGATTTTTTTTTTTAAATCAGCTTTTTCTATGGGAGCCAAAGCAAAACGCCTGAACACAATGGRCACAGGTTCAGTGCAGGTGGTCCCCTTGAAGGAAGCTAGGAAAAAAAAGCAGCTGAAGGAGAACCACTCATGGATGTTTTCAGAYAAAACCCTCTGAGATGCAGTTATGTGTTCTTTAGCCCTTTTATATCACTATAATCAGTGATGCTGGCTCGCTTGTGACTGAATTACTTTAGGAGCATGCATAAATTCACGAGAGCTRAATGAGGAAGATCTTGACCCACTAGTATAATATGGGGTTGAACATTTTATCAGCAAAACCATTTCAATAGTCAGATGTAAAACTCTGATCCAGAACATAGAAAAAGATTCTGAATATACTGTACTTTCAAGTGTTATACGGAAGACATGTAACATGGGAATAGAGGCCTCCTTGGCAGAAAGCTATGGACATGAAATTCTGCTGTTCTACAGCCSCACAGATGGAAATAAGAAGATGCATTACCTTCTCCTTTTCCAGAAGATGTAACCTCCTACAGCAACTACAGCCAGGATAGCTAAAAGGCATCCGATAACAGCTCCAGCAATGACACCTTATGAAAAGAACAGGTAGTTCTCGTTATTGATCTRCCTCTTCGGTAGAGATCCAATCAATCAACATGCTACAAGGGGACCTCACAAGGGCCACAGCTAACACACAGACACACATCATCACCACCAAAACAAAAAGAGTGATTGTAAATAAGTCAAGGTCTCGCACACGTGGCTGATTTTCACATTCCACTCTAGTGGTGAAAAAAATCATTAATTAGCTATGAGGAAGACACTCCATTTTGAACATTTTGATAGTACAACATTGGCAGCAAGGTMTTTTTGTTTGTTTTTAAATAACCACTTCAGACTTATTTACATGGCAAGTGCAAACTAAGGTGCAAGGTAGATGCACCTTAGTTTTGGGCACACAAATAGTTTTGAGTGTATCCAATTTAACTAAAACTTGCAGTTTTTTTACACAGAGTGCACCCGGGGGACTCCCCTCAGTGGAGRACATCCCAGGACTAGGCAGCATATAAGAAGGCAATAACTAATTGTTAACAACTGCAGCAGATATCCCATTACCTCTACTTTACAGAGGGAAAAATCCAGCTTGAGAGGGCCATGTTTGCGGAGCTGCTCATGTGCCCTAAGCTCACAGGAGTCCTGTAGCTCACTAAAGCTCTTTGGCAAATCCCCCCAGATATCTGCACATGGATTCTGAAATAACTATTAGGGGYTCAATAAGCTGGAAGTTGACAGGGAATTGAACTGTGTAAGCAATGTGACAGGGAGCCCTACTAACCATCTTCTCTTCACTACGTCCTTCAGGAATACCRTTATTGAAAGCTCCTACAGAACAGCCACTTTCTACTTATTTCTGTAGTGGCCTTAGTGTGCCACCCAACTGCTTTTAGCATGACATAAGAAGCTGAGGAGTTGGTTACTTTTGTTATGGGAATTACAGATGGCAAAAAAAGTTCTGCTATGTGCAGAACTAGCAAGGTAAAGGCTTAGAGCAGAGACAAAGCTTAAGAGAGGTCCATCACAGTGAGACCAACAGGTGTTGTASCAATAATTACATCATTTGCCATAACTATGGAATTGCCACAAATAGTGCGTGTGTAAAGCCTGGAGCCCTGAGGTTTTCCTTAGGCATACCTGGGTCCTGAGGTAACAAAACCTGCTCAGAACAGGGTGAAAACGATGCATAACTACATTCTCCCGCAATCCCACCATTCGCAGTAAAGTTTATGCTAGTAAAACCTGCCACACGTGCCCTGTTGACAAAGAAAGGGAAGAAAAAAAAAAAAAAACAAGTATGAGAGATTGTTTATCAGCCCTCTTCATGACACGAAACTTGAAATTTCAACAGTTGCAAAAACAGCCAGGCAGTGGCTTCAGCTCAGTACCTGTATGAATGAAGTGGACTCAGAGGGCCGTTTTCATAGGCATGCACCTTGTTTCCAGTGCCTACATTAACTGTGAATGTCCTAATTTCAGAAGGCAAAGAGGACTGATTTGCCTGTCCTACATCTACGATATATGTTACATAGGTGGTAGTCTTCTTTTGCTTGAAATCCCCGTATGTGCTGTTCAATTCAGGCTTTGAAGACCCACAACCTTCTGGAAAGACAAAGAAAGGGGTACACATCACCCACTGCTTTTGCATGCACTAGCAGAGCTGCTCAGGGTTAAGAGCAGGTCATGTAACTCCAGCTGTGACTGTCCCACAGCTATTCCCTGAAAATAAAGGCTAAGTGCAACAGACACAACCTCGGGACCTCTCTCCACAGCAGTTGAATTTACCGAGCTACTCCCCTCCTCTCCCTTGCTGCTACTTTTCCTCTGGGTTTCATGTCTACCATGTATGGCGGAAGGTCTCTGTAAAGGTTAGAGTTGCTATAAGGAATCCAGTGTCCTGTGGCAACTCTCACTAGACAAGCAAGTCAAATCCAAATCCTTTCTAGCTACTATTGAAGGTAAAAAATACTATGCAATCAGCACAGAAAAGGCCAATTTGTGTCTGATAACATCAGGCCACCCAAGAGAGACAAGCTTCACTCAGGATCTTGTTAAACTTGGCTTGGTCTACGCTGTCTGTGGGCCTACCCTGGACTCCAACGTAACCACACAGAGGTAAGTTCACACATTGGATTTGTATCTCTAAACAGGGCAAGCAGTAACAAGGAGAGCCACCCTGCCTAACTGGAGCCAGCTGAGGGTAGTCCAGGCTCTCTACCTTCAACGCAGAGTGACAGAGACAAGCAAGGCACCTCCACAAGTCAATCTGTCTTATCCCCAAAGACAAGGAATGTGTCCTCCTCTAAAATTGTTGCATGTCTTTCATATCTAAACCCTAGGGGACAACCCCCTGAAAGGCTCTAGAGTCGTAGAAAAGCTCTAGCAACGTTGCTGTGTCTAGACAAGGTTTGATCTGGTATTCACTGCAGTCAAGAGCAAAGTTCTCATCTACTGCATCTGTGCAGGCGTGGCGCACAAGGTGGCTCTCCTGAAGAGAGGTATCCAGTTCCATTCCAAAATAACATACAGTATTCCAAAATGTCCGCAGCCTCACAGGGATGTCTTGGATACTGCCCTTGGGAATCCCTAACAGCTTTAGGCACTATTGCTTAAGCAACTGAAGAAAGCTCCCTYTCTCTATCCCAAAGGTAATGATGCTCCAAATGGGGAAATTATTTTTAGCAGCTGCTCAATTCCTGCCGCGCAGTGGCAGAAATAAAAATGAGTTCAACCAAAAACCTACACTGCTAAAGCTCCTTCATTTGGCAATTTATCACTAGCTATCTAGCAAATAATCGGGTTTTAAAGAGGTGAGTTGTATAAACCAAGCTCTAGTTTTCCTATAGCATTCAATTTCCCATGGCACACAGCGTGGACAGTGCTATCCAGGCCTTTCATCTGCACCCCATCTCCCTCAGTAAGGCACTTTAAGTAACATTAGAAGGAAAGCTGCCATCTCTCTGGACGTTTTTAAGCACCTCACTGCAAAAACCTTCCAGCTGAAGGAAGAAGGGAAGTAGGAAGGAAGACATTCCAAACTCCAAAACAGTTTAATGGTTCTGAGATTCAGTGGAAAAAAAGACTACACAATCTCATGCCAAGAATCACCGGCAAATCGAGACGGTAGCAGAACAGGGGCAACACTGCCACGCAAGACTTGTATACCAGGATAACCCAGGTTGGTCAAGAGTCCAAGTGCAGCAGTGGCTTTYTGAAAACAAGGAGCAATTCAGCTTCAGTCAAGTAAAGTATTTGCACCACAAGTTTTGAAATGCAACTGAAAATACTGATTCAGCTTTTCCTCTCTTCATTAACATCTATTTAGAGCTTAAAGCTATAGGGTGTTTTTTTTTGTCCCGACATAATATTCTCTGATAAATTGTTTCACACAGTTAAAATAACATCTCACAACACCGTACCTGATGCCTCCGTTACGATGATTACTGCGTAGGCTATTAATGGTCCGTTTACAGAGGCAAAATCTGAGAATTTAACAGACAAGGAGGTGTGACTGATGGCCTCAACTAAAGGACCATAAGGAGGAGCAGGTGGGTCTATAAACAGAAAAATATTTGTTAATACCTTATGCTAACAAGAAAAAAGCAGTTTTCCAAACAAGAAAATACTGTAATAACAACTGTTCAGATAATGGATGTGYATTTGTGCATTGTATGACAGTTTCTATGAATCTACTGTTTTATTCACAACCGGTAAACWGATAATGCCCTATAAATCAAATCTGGTGTTCTGCAATGCCGAGGTTGATTTTTTTCAATCCTATATGTATCTTTCCATCCTTGGACCTTACTACTTACCAGTAATACTAGTCTTGCATATGATGTGCACCGCGGCGCTCTCCTTTGAATTTGAAAGGGTTGTAATGTTTACATTGTAGGTGGTGAAATAATTGAAAGGTCCTATTTTGAAGGTTTCTTCCTGGTATTCTGTACATCGTGGAATCTCTTGGGTTGTTTCCCATGTATCATTAAATACTTTTACACTGAAGCCAGAATTGTTACCAATAGGACATATCCATTTGAGTGTTAGGTTAGACTCCTTGTCCACTGGATCACACTGAAATGAAGTTACTGAGGCAGGAACTGCAAAAATAAACAAGAGGAGCATAAAAATGAAGGATGCAGTTTCATACAGGAAAGAGATTAGAAACAGCCCCAGAGAGTAACTAAAGTTACTGGGCACCCTTAATGTCATTTTGTGTGGGTGACCTACAGGACATAAATGAAGAATTGAGACCTTGCAACAGATTAAAAAAGATAATCAAAAAAGCTAAGGTAGCATTGATACCAAGAAGAAAGGTYGCTCTCAAGTAAATGGTGGCTTTTAAGATCGAAATTGTTACAACTTCAGCAGCTCTAACACCTGCCACCATAGCAGGTGTATTGCCTCTCCTGATTCAGGAGGATTTGAGACCTTCAGATAGGGAGAGAAATACACCTGGACTAAATCATTGYTATAGAAAAGGTATTATTTTAAGAAACTAATAGGAGGCAGTAGAACTGTATGATGGAAGAAACAGACATAGCTGAAGGACAGATAGGAGTGACTGCAACTTGTATGAAGGTTTACACATACTCCATCTCTTTCAGATAAACTGGCGGCTGCTGCTGCAAATGCTGACAAGTGATACCAGGTTATAGGGCTCAAATGTGTATCAATAGCTCTGGTGACAACAGCCATCTAGCTTCCAGAGGAAACATAGGTTAGTTACATAACTACATAGTTAACATAACTACAGGGGACCGTTCATTTTGAGGCACCTCAGAAAAGCTCAGAGGACCTTTAGGAAAAGATTCACTTCATCTACGCTAAAAAGAGAAAAAGAAAGGGAAAGCACAAAACACCCCAAGTTCACAGTGAAAGGAGGAAAGCCACAAGAGGTAGAAAAACAGGCACTGCCCGGAGCACCTCAACATCTTCCTCCCTGCTCATGAGTCAAAAGGGAAAGGGGCTACAACTGCCCAGCTCAKCATTGCCCAAAGGCAGCTCTTCTCTTGCACCCTGAAGGGGCCTTGCAGGGCATGAGGACCACCACAAACAAGGGCATGAGAGCTTCTACTCACCAGTAGATTCTTTTATGGAGACCCCCTCTCCTTTGGTTTGACCATCAGCTGCCACTGCAAACACTGCGAAGCTGTACA